ATGAATGGAGATTTTGTGGGGTCTTTGTTGTTGATGTTGTTATTACTGCTTTCTGTTTGTCAGGCTACTCTGTGTAGGGCTGCTGAGGGATAGCTCTAGGCCCGTTGCCTGGGTTTTCCCCTTACCTGGAGGTATCACCAGTGAAGTCTCCAAAACAGCAAAGATGACAGCCTGCCCCCTCCTCCAGGAGCTCCATCCCAGATGGGTCCTGACTTGTTGCTGGCTCAGATGCTCCTATAGGACGTGTCTGGAGACCCCTGTTGGGAGGTCTCACCCAGTAAGGAGGGATGGGATCAGGAACCCATTTAATCAGTTTTTTGGTAATCAGCTGTGCTTTGTTGGGGGGAACCCTTCCTTACCCAGACTGCCTGGACAGGCTGAGCCAACTGAACTGCAGAGACTATGACTGCCCCTCCCCAAAGGGGCTCTGTCCCAGGGAGAGATCAGAGATTTGTCTATATAACCCTAGCTGGAATTGCTGAAATTCCTTCAGGGAGGCCCCACCACTAAGGGGGGATGGATCAGGGTCCCACTTAAGCAGTCTGGCCACAAGCTGGCACAGCAGCTGTGCTGTGTTTGGTGGACTTCTCCTCAGCTGGGCTGCCTGGATTCACTGAAGCTAGCAGGCTACAACAGCTGAGTTGACCTAACCACGGAAATGGTGGCCATCCCTCCCCCTGGGAACTCATCTGTCTCAGGAAGTCTCTGGCCTGCTGCGTGGGCCAGCTGGAATTCCAGGCCTGTAAGTCTTAACTTGTGAGGTGCTGTGGAAGTGGGGCCTGCAGAATGATGCTGCTTGGCTGCCAGGAGTCCTAGGGATGGAGTCTGAAAAACTCCTGGGTTTCTGTGTGAGCCTGAGTGACTGCTTTGCTGAGACACTGCACAGCTGTGTATCTTGATTACATTGGCTCACTAGGGGATCTCCTGATCCATGGGTTGCAAAGATCCACAGGAGAAGGGTGGTTTCCTGGGTGGGGTCACACAATCACTTACCACTTCCCTTGGCTGGGGATCAAGGTTCCTTTGGCTCCATGCTGCTCGCAGGTGGGACAGTGCCTACGCAGCTTTTCTTCATTCTCCATGGGTCAAGTGATTGCCTAGTCAGTCCCAATGAGAGAACCTGGATATTTCAGATGAAGGTTCCAAATGCACTCACCATTTTCATTCCTTCTTGTGAGAGCTGTGGACTGTAGCTACTTCTAATCAGCCATCTTGGCCCCTCCCCCTCTTTCTGCACTTTATATAATTCCACTGCCTTCTGTCCTGCAAGATAGCTGCTGAGAAATCAGTTTATAATATTATTGAGAATTTCTTGTACACAATGAGTTGCTTTTCTTGCTGCTTTCAAGATTTCCTCTTTGTTTCTTAAGATTGATTTTAATGTGTCTTAGTGTGGGTCCTTTTGGATTTTTCAACTTGGAGTTTGTTTAGCTTCTTGGATTTGTAGATTCATGTCTTCATCAAATTTGGAAAGATTTTGGCCATTATTTCTGCCAATAATCTTTCAACTCCTTTCTCTCTTCTTCTGAGACTCTCACAATATATATACGCTGGTCCACTTGAAAGCGTCTCACAAATATTTTTGGCTCTGTTTATTTTCTTCATTGTTTTTCTTCTCCTCAGACTCAATAATTTTGATTGGCCTATCTTCAGGTTTGAAGATTCTTTGTGCTGCCTGCAAAATCTGGTGTTGAATCCTGCCAGTAAATTTTTCAATTCAGTTATAGTATTTTCAGCTCCCAAATTTCTGTTTGAGTCCTTTTTATCATTTGTCCTTTGTTTACCTTTAGTTCTATAATCATATTTAAGACAGTTATTTAAAAGTATTTGTCTTTTATATTCGATGCCTATGTTTATTTTCTTCCTTTAAATGGCCCATATAAGGCTTGTGATTTTATTGTTGAAAAATGGGCATTTGAAAAACAGCCATCTCTCCTAGTCTCTGTAGACTGGCCCTGGGATGGGGCAGTCCATCACTGATTAGCTGAGTATACTCTGAGCATAGTAATCAGTCTGAGGTGAAAATGTAAGGTCTTCTCAGATCTTTTATGTGGTTTGTATGGGTCTTCTCCATATACATAGCTGCTTTTGAGTGTCTAGAATGTCAGTTTTATGGCTCCACCCACAATCTCTTTTCCCAGGTGTCTGCAGGTCTGTAGTCCTTGTGCAGATTTCACAAGTAGTAGCTGCCACCTTGTCAAGATCAAAACCATGCCACATGGGGGAGTGGGGCAAGGATGAATGAAGATACCAGGAAATTTCCTATCATTTTAAAGATGGCTTTTTCTTTATTGGCTGTTTGCTTGGTTGCTGTAGAACTTGGGCTGTTTTCCAGAGCACTTATAAGGTTAGTTTAGCCAGGCTCCAGTTGTTTTTTTGATGCTTACATAAAGGAACATGGACTTGGAGCTTCCTACTCTGTCATTTTGCTAATGTCCCTTGACTACACTGGGAGTTCTTGAAGGATTAACGTGTCCCTGGACTTACTTCCTTCCTCCACTCTTCTTTGTACCTAAATCTATTGCTGGTTTAATTTCAGTGCTTACTTTCATACTGAAACTGCCATTCACAGAGTTGCCAGTGACTGCCTCAGTCAGGTTCAGACCTGCACTGTGTGTACAAAATAGGCCAATGCTTATTTTGGATCTTGTTTATTCCGCTGGATGTATTTTGATACCATTAACTTCTTCCTTCTGGAAAACTCTGAATTTTCCTACTCAGTAGGTTCATCTTTTCCCCTCTTCTTTCCATAGTTTAATTAGTGTTGTGTTACCCTGGGTTCTGTCCTGTGCCTTTTCTTAATTTGATCCTTTCCCTCTCTCTGGGTGACATCATCTATGATTCTTAGCCACCACTTGTATACTAATGACTTTCGAATTGATAGGGTTTAGTACAGCTCTTTTTTAAGTTCCAGACCTATGTGTGCAACTACCTAATGAACATCTCTACTTAGATATCTCATACTAAACATGTCCCAGACAATTCCATGTAGCACCAATCCACTCTCTTTTTTTCTGTATTCCTGTCTAGTTGTTAAATTCAGAACCTCCAGCTAAATTTTGACTTCCTTTTTTTTTTTCTCATCCCTGATATCCAGTGGATCATGAAAACCATGTGAATCACACTTAAAGAGGAAATGGATTTCTCTCCATTGGCACTGCTCAATACCTTCATTCTGGTCACTATAATTGCTCACCTAGATTAGGCTTCTCTTTCTGTAGTCCTTTTACTTTACTACAAAGAACATACCGCCCCCGCCCCCTCTGCCTTTTTTTTTCCCCTTTAAGACAGGGTTTTACTCTGTCACCCAGGCTGGAGTAGTGAAAGTGGTATGATCACAGCTCACTGCAGCCTTGACCTCTCAAGTGATCCTTCTGCCTCAGCCTCCTAATTAGCTGAGACTACTGGCATGAGCCATTGTGTCTGGCCAGACAGTAATCTTAAAAGTCTAACTCTGTGCCACTCCTTAAAAATCTTTGTAGTTGCACTTATAGTAAAATCCAAATTCTTTGGGCAGCATCGAAGACCGTTTTATGATCTTGCACCTGCTTTCCAGGCCACATTTCTATCCTGTCACCTCATTCTCTTGCAAATGTTGCGGGCTGTGTTTCCCTTCCGTTCTCCACAGATGCTTATATGGGACACGTTCCCCACCCAAGACAGGTGTCCCATAAATGTATGTTGAATTAAAAGAAGAAAGTTGAATTACTATATGAAGCCAGATTACTGGAGCTAAGAAGGTGGTCTTAGTTTTACTTGGACTAAAATCATCATGGTTTCATAGACTTCAGGAAGGTAGGTAGAAAAAAAAAACATTTGCATAACACTATTCCAAAAGGGATTTTTTTTTTTGTTTTTGTTAGAAAGTATCATTTTCATTCTCACAGGAGTGGAATGTGGAGGTCTGAGGTGCATCTACAGTTTGAAGCACAGTATCAACAATATTACCAGCAGAAAAACATCAATAGGATGGTGAGATGAAGCATTTGCCTATAATTGATAATGCCTCAAGCCTTACTACTCTTTCAAGGGTAACCCTTGGGCTAGTAGCATTGACGTTACCAGAAGTTTTGAGAAATTCAGCATCCAAGTTCTACCTCAGACTTACCATATTAGACTTTGCATCTTTAATTGTAAATATACTGGCCTCAAGGGTTTTAGAAAAAAGGAGGAGGGTGAATTTTTTGAGGAGGAGTGGAGAAAGGGATAAAGACCTGTATATTTTTCTCTCTGTTAGGAAACATAATCACTGCTGCACTATATGTACCCCCCTTGAGTGACCTTGATGACACAGTGCAGAAACATCTCTCATGTGTAGCCGGAACAGTTTACTATTGTAATTTTACAAACTGCCAATAAGCCTTGAGGGCCTGGAAGCAGAGCTGTCTTGAGATGAATGTGAGCTATGAGAAGTGGGCTTTTCCAGGTAAGAGAAAGATGATATTCCCCCAGGCACGGGAGCAATGGGGGCTCATGCCTCTTTGATTGTGAAGCACATACATTATGTCACTGGAATTAAGAAGGGGTTATTAGAGGCTCCAGAAAGGAGTCTCCAGTGAGGCATGTTGATTGGCCAGCAGTGAGCAGTAGCCTTGACTTACCTGGGACTCAAATGGCTTATGAGTTGGAACATGAATTCTATGGCCAAAAACATTTGATTTTCATTAAGATGGCCACAGTGTGTTAATAGAAAATCACAAGTGATTGTTCTCCAAAGAACACACCTGGAGGTGGGCGTGGAAGACGTGAATGTAATAATGTATAGATGGCCAATTGCAAAATGTTTTGACTTGCTAACTGCCTAAAAACATTTAATCACATGGGTTCATAGAATTGCACTGCTGCTCTGGGGTGTCTCAGCTGGCCAACCAACAAAAGCTATGCCTGGCCCATCAGAATGTGAAAGGAGGAGGTGGCGGTGATAGCATTTTACTTCCTACTGTGGCAGGGTCCACACCTTTAGATTCAGCTTTCAAATAACAACGACTCTGGCTCCTCACCTGGCCCCAGCTGGAGAAGGCCCACTCCACACACAGCTGCTGGTTACAGGCCTGGGTGTCCACAGGCCGCTTGGCAAGCTGGGTGCACATGTCATTGGACACAGGGGTGGAGATCCCAGAGGCTTTCAGCTTCTGACAGGTTACTCGGCGGGTCTGGACACCTCCCCCACAGCTCCGGGTACAGGCAGACCATGAGGTAACCATCCACCTGGGGAAAGGAAGAAGTGTCAGGAGAGTTCTAAAGGGTCAGGCCATGGGGAAAAGAGACCCCCCCTCCCACCCCATCCCTGCTCTTGCCACTAATTTGGGGCCAAGGTTCTTTTCACAGTATTTACTTGGAAAGGCATGCTGAGAAAACAAGTCCTCCCAAAGATATCTATGTAAAATACCTAGTGCCTGCGAATGTTATCTTATTTGGCAAGGTTCTTTGCAGACATGATTACGGATTATCTTGGATGATCTGGCTGGGCCCTAAATGCCTGCCATAACAAGTGTTATTACGGAGAAAAGCAGAGGGAGATTACATACAGAGAAGAGGAGGAGACAATGTGGCCATGAAGGCTGAGGTTGGACTTAAGTGGCCACAAGCCAAGGAACACCTGGGGTCACCAGAAGCGGATTCTCTCCTAGAATTTTTGGAGGTGGTGTGACCCTCCTGATACCTTGATCTTGGACTTGCGGCCTTCAAAATCGTAAGAGAATAAATTTGTTTTTTTATAACTGCAGTGTTGGTACCTCCTAAAGGAGATCCAAGCATATGACAGAGGAGGGACAGTTTTTCTAGGGAAATCAGATCCAAATTTGTGCCACCTCCTGACCCAAAAAGTCATCTGGGCCTCACTGAGGTCAAGGTTGTGTCTGGTGGTGCTCAGTGTACTTCCTACCGTACACTTTGGTCAATCCCTCAGAAACATGTCAAGTTCCTCCCATGTCTCTGCAGTAGTCTATAGGTCTTACACCTACCTCTCAGAGGGCTGCATATGTGGTAGGAATAGTTGTTCTCTGAATGTTAGGTTCCCAAATTGAGACTGACAAATGGAATTTTCTCACAAAGCCAGCCTGTAAACCACAAACATCCTTGGTCCATAAGGAACCATGCAGGGCTTCTCGTTGCATGTATGCGCCCTGGGGTAATTCTCAGAAAGGAGGGGACAGCTTGGGGGAATTGCAAGACTTGTTGCTCATGGCATCTAGAACAAAAAAATCCCACTCTTTGGTTTTAGTGATAGAGAAAATTTATCTAACGAAATGGTTAAAACAGCCACCTGGGTCACAGCAGGGTTACCTGGTTCTGTTCAAAGAGACAACCAGGGCGACATTAGTTCACCTGCAAAGAAGGATACTAAGTGTTCAAAATGCCTGGCAGGAAAATGGGTCAAAGGTGAACCTAGGGCTACTTCCTAGCCAAGTGGCACCACATCTGGCTTTCAGGAGAGGCATGTAGCAGGAAAGGGGAGCAAATTCCTCCTAAATCTGGATCTGTGACTCATTTAGTTTTGTGGCAACTTCCCTGCTCTTTTGCCTTGTAGAGGGATGACTGCATGCAGATTTCCAACCCACAGGAGCAGAGCCACTTAGGAAGCAGGCAAGAGGTGTTTAAAAACTCCTGGGGCCATTGAAACCCAAGAAAACAGAGCCATTATTATTTCATTTGCAGAAGTAAATTAAGCTGATTGACTCTGACCATCACCAAATCAAGTCAAAAAGTCCCTGGCACGTCAAAGATCTCTTCTTCAATTTGCACAGCTTGGCAAGGGCACTTTTCCAGCCTCTTATATCCCTGGTGAATGTCAGGCCTGCATTTCAATCAACTTTTATTTCCAAATATACGTTTCAGCAGTTTTTCAGGAGCTGAGGTGGGGGGTTTGAGAAAGGAGAGGGCCAGGCTATGTTACAGTTCAGGAAGGGTATAAAAGGACATTAATCATTCCTGTGGAAACCTTCCCGTCAGCAAGTCAAACTGCTGATATTAATGAGCATGTTTCATATTTCATTGAGTCTCTCCTGGTTTCAGCTGCTCTTTATGACTCAGCTGGCAAAACAGAAAGCAGTTGCCTAAGTACTGTATGAAAGTCCTACAGATAGGGAGTAAAGGGGCATTGAGGGCCGAGCCAAGTCTCCCCCAGGCTCTGAGCACCACACCAGTGCCAACTCCAAGCCCATCTACTATCCATTTAACTACTGCTGAGGCTGGGGTGCACAGTGGAACTCAGCCTCTGGAAGCATCAGCAAGTATGAGGCTACTGTCAGACACAGAGATTAATTCCAATATGAGTGAGATGCAGGCCTTTGTAGAAAAGAAGAAGAAAAGATTTTCTCAACTAAACTGGAGTACTGATTAGCACAGGTATTTAAGGTTAGACTTGGAGGACAGGCCGAGCCCAATAATCGCTGTTTCCTCAGCCCTTCAACTGAAACGACAAGACATTCTTTTCTACAAACAACTCAGTCAGTTGACTGCTGTAGGATGGGGGGTGGTCTTTCGCTTGCAGGCCCTGGGATGCTCTTGCTCCCTGAAGAGACCCCACTGGGCACTTGGGAAGCCTGAATGGCCATTATTGGGGCTATTTTCAGCATGGCGGAAAGGCCTGACAAGCCTATGTCTAGAGGGAAGAACAGCTCCTTGGCTGGCATCTCTCCTTGCACAGTGCTACTTAAGGCCTGGCCATCGACTTTGCTAAAATTGAGGGCCCATTGTAGGTGGGGAGGTCTGAGCCAGCGTCCGCCACACTCACCGAGAAGGGCAGTCTCGACGATTGCATGCGATGGGCTGCACCGCAGGGCGAACCTTCCCTGCGCAGTGGGCAGGGTTGACTTCTGTGCTGTTGAGCAGGCACCTCAAGCGGGGCTGCTGGACCCCCCGGTTACCACAGGAGGCAGAACATGTTGCTAGTCTGTCCACAGACCACCAGTAATCTGTCATGGGAGGAGGAGCAGAGTAGAAAAGAAGATAGCATCATTGCCCACACTCTGAATTCCTTCTGAGCAGGGCAGGGAGAGGGTGGAAGGGGTGGATTTGTGGGCTGAGGGAGAACAGCTATTATGAACGAGGCCCTGATCCTCAAGGGGCACCAGTCTTGAACTATTTGGGCAAGTCACGTGGTCTCTTGGGGCCTTAGCCATGAAATGAATACAGTGACCCTCAACTCACCAAGTTACTGTGGGGACAGGAAATAATGAAAGTAAAGTAGTGCAGTGCCTGGCATACAGAGAGTACTTACTTAATGCCATAGATCATCTTATTTTTAAAGATATTTGCTAACACACTATTTTTTTTTTCTCATTGGTTCACCAGAAAGTGACTTTGTTTTCTACAAAGAGATACAAATATAGCAAAATACTTAGCCATCACATTTAAAAGTGCAGATTTGAGCTGGACTATGCAAATGGTACCAAAAAAACCAGCCTATCCAGGGAGTGCTTATTTACATGAGACAATGACGTCAGTAAGAAAGCTAGTTGAGCTGGGAGCTGGGAGTCACTGATAGGAAAGCTGTTAAAAATAAATACAGGTGGTAAATTTTGAGTGCTTATTTGCAAAGTAGGCCCTGGCTTCTGGTTTTCTGCAGACAATAGTGGCTGGCAAGAAAATGGAACATTTGTTTCCCTGTCTGAAAAGCCAAATGGTCAGGGGGGATATTTAAGAAGAAAACTTATCTGCTTAGAAAAATTTCCCTCCTTTCTCCATCCTCTTGTGCCATACTGGCAGAAAACTCTGTCCCTTCCCACTGAATCCTTCCTTTTGGAATCACACACAGGCCACAGGTAGAACCAGCCTATGGAAAACTCCAAAAAACTCACACAGTTTTCATAAAAAGACCACTTTTCCCTCTTTCCCACTGTTTTGGCCTCATTTACAACCCTTTCTTGGTGCAGTGAAGGCCAGGCTCCGCCCAAAAGCTTTCTGACCCGCCTGTTTTTCAAGAAGGTTCATGCATGAACCACGCGGGCTTCTCAGTCTGTCCTTTGCCAGCGTCAAAGGAAAGGTGCCTGGAAAGCCGTCAGCCTACGACTAAAGCCGAAGACTCTTCAGAATGATCAGCGGGTATTGGCACCAGCCCTGTCTCTCTAGACAGGGGGCAGTAACCAAACAGGTTACCCTGTGTGTGTGTGTGTGTGTGTGTGTGAGATCTGTACTAGTTAAATCAGCATAAAGGAATCACATCTGACTTTGATATAGAGTGGTGTTTCCATGGTCCTGAGCTACAGCAACATTATAAGCGGAAGGGCCTATGTATGAAGGCAGCACTGGCTTTTCCAGGTTCTGCTCGGATGGGGCATGATGGCTCTTCTCAAGGGCCATGTTGGCAGAGGTAGAGTCTTACTGTATGGCAACATGGTGCAGCTTCAGTTTTCATGCCCTGGGCACCACTGGAGATCAGAAATTACTTTGTTCTACAGATAATTAGATTCCTAAGTGGGCCTTCTTGTTCAAGAAATAAGTATGCAAAGTCTGCAGGGTTTCTTACCTTGGATCACTAAAGATGCCTTCTGCATGAGCACCCCTGCCTCATTCTGAGCAAGGCAGCTGAATTCCCCTTGAGACCCACTACTAAGGTTTGCAACTTGAAGGATCTGTCCAGCTGCCAAGATGTGATACGTCAGTCCTGTGGCAGTGACAATTGGCTGACCACCATGAAACCAGGTGATATTAGGGACAGGGTGACCTTTGATGGGGCAGCCTAGAAGGAAAGGAAAAGAGAAGTAAGCCTTGGTAAAGCCATAAGGAACACATTCTTGGTGCATTGGTTTACTGTCTTTCTGGGTCTAGAAATTGTACACACATTGTGCCCTTGTCCATGGCATTTTTATTATATTTGCCATTTCTGAGCAATGGAGACGTTTTAGCTTGGCATTGTAGGCGCCGGAGGGAGTCTGCTGGTCTACAGGTTGTGTAGACCGTGGGAAAAATGCGGTATCTGAGCCGGAGTGCTAGAGTGTCCGGCAACATCCCTAATGGCGTCCCTTGGCTGGTAGAGTGAGTTCTCTGGCCCCTTGCACCTCCCGGGTGGGTAGTGCCCCACCCTGCTTCAGCTTGCCCTCCTCGGGCTGTTCCCACTGTCTAACCAGTCCCAATGAGATGAACCTGGTACCTCAGCTGGAAATGTGGAGATGACGCGTCTTCCAGCATGCTCTTGCTGGGAATTGCAGACTAGAGCTGTTCCTATTCGGCCATCTTGGCAGCTGTATCTTTTTTTTTTTTTTTTTAAGTAGAGACAAGGTTTCACCATGTTGGCCAGGCCAGTGTTGAGCTCCTGGCCTCAACTGATCTGCTCACCTCAGCCTCCTGAAGTGCTACGATTACAGATGTAAGACACAGTACCTGACCTAATGTTTCTTGTTTTTCAATCCTGGGATAGAACTATTAAAATTTATGCAAGATGAAGAATCCTTAGAAATCATCCAGCTCACCATCCACTAGAGGAATAAACTGAGGCCTAGCGATGTTAGGAGACTTTCCTGAGATTGTATGGCAGACCTTCTATCTGACTACTGGCCGGTATTCTTTTCCCCATACCTGATACTTGTCCAGCAGGGCACCTTGCTACCTTCTTCATTTCTTTGCTCATTTATTTTTTTCCACTTCATTTTTGTTTTTCCTGAGGTAATGTACAGTGAGTGGGTAGGAGCAGAGTATTTGGAAGGGAGGGCTCTAAAAAAATAACCTAAACACGGACCCCTGGAAGCTCCGTATGGGATGTGGTATTACACGAAGAAGTGAAGAATTAGATCATGTATCTGTTGACTCTACCTGGCAACTTGACAGTGCTCTCCCATGAGAGAGGGGTTCCCTCTTCCCCCACCTGGCTTCGGGTTTGGCCCTTTGACTTATTTGGCTGACAAGAAATGAGACAGATGTTACAATAACAATCATCAGAAAAGAAAAAACAAGTTCACTCACAACAGCATCAAAAAGAAGAAAACACTTAGGAATAAACTTAAGGAGGCTACTATGGTTTAGATGTTTGTCTCGTCTAAAACTCATGTTGAAATTTAATCGCCACTGTAACCGTATTAAGAGGTGAGACCTATAAGAGGTGATCAGTCCTCATGGGTTGGGTTAATGACATTATAAAAGGGTGAGTTCAGCCCTTATTTGTTTCTTTGTGCTTCCACCTTTGGCCCTGTGAAGACAAAGCTGTCCTCCCTTTTGGAGGATGTGAAGTAGGACTGTGGAAATTACCTAGGCTCAGGTATTCTGTTATAGCAGCACGAAATGGACCAAGAGACAAAAATCTTGAACACTGCAAGCTATAAAATACTGCTGAAAGAAATGAAAGAAGATATGAATTCATGGAAGGACATCTCGTATTTATGGATTAGGAGACTTAATACTGTTATGATGTCATTACTCCCCATAGTGATCTACCGATTCAATGCAATCCCTATCAAAACACCAATGATATATTTTGCAAATAGAAAATCTCATCCTAAAGTTTATATTGCATATCCAAAATCCCAGAACAACCTTGAAAAAGAAGAACAAAGAGGATTCGTAGTTCCTGACTTCAAAACTTAGTAATCAAGACAGTACTGTACTGGCATAAAGACAGACATAGAGACCAAAAGAACAGAATAGAGACCAGAAACAGACTTTTAAATATATGGTCAAATGATTTTTGTCGAGGGTGTCAAGTGTCAAGACCAGTCAATGGGGAAAGGCCAGTCTTGCCAACAAATGGTTCTGGGAAACTGGATATCCATATGCGAACAAATGACTTACAGTATGTATAAAAATTAAAATGGATGAAAGACCTAAACCTAAGAGCTAAAAGTATAAAACTCTTACAAAAAAAATCACCGGGAAAACTTTAATAACGTTGGGTTTGGCAATGGTTTCTTAGAGATGACACTAAAATATAGGCAACAAAAGAAAAAAATGAAGTGGATTCAACCAAAATTTAAAATCTTTTACATATTATATAACACTATGAAGTGAGTGAAAAGGCAACTCACAGAATGAGAGAAAATATTTGGAAACTATAGATTGGATAAGAGATTAATATCCAGAATGTATGAAGAATTCTTAAAATTTGGTAACTAACCACCCAGTATGGGGAAATGCCCAAATAAAGAAAGGACTTGAACAGACATTTCTTCAAAAGAGATACATGAATGGCCAATAAACACATGAAAAGATGCTCAATTAATCATTCGGAAAATTCAAATGAAAACCACCATGAGTTACCACTGCACACCCACCAGGATGGCTGTTAAAAGAAACCCAAATTATAAATGTTTGCAAAGACATGAAAAAATTGGAACCCTTGTGCACTGCTAGTGGGAATATAAAATGGAGCAGCTATTGTGGAAAACAGTATGGTGAGCCCTTAAAAAATTAAATATAGGATTATCATATGCTCCAGCAATTCCACTTTAGGGTACATATTCGAAAGAATTGAGAGCAGACACTTGAAAAGATAATTGTATACCTATGTTCATAGCAGCATTATTCATAATGGCCAAAAGATTTAAACAACCCAAATATCCAACAATAGACGGGTAAACAAAATGTGGTATATATGTATGATGGGATACTATATAGCCTTAAAAGAAATAATACTCTGACATAGGCTACAACATGGATGAGGCTTGAAAACATTATGCTAAGTGAAGGAAGTCAAATATAAAAGGACAAATATTGTATGATTCCACTTATGTGAGGTACCTAGAACAGCCAAATTCATAGAAGCAGAAAGTGGAATCGTGGTTACCAGAGGCTGAGAGAAGGGAGGAAGGGGGAGTTCAGAGTTTCAGTTGATGAACAAATTCTGGAGATAGTGGGGATACCTGCACAAGGTAGATGTATGCAGTGGCATCAAGCTGTGCACTTAAAAATAGTTGAAATGGTAATTTTATCAGCACATTCTCAGAGAGAGTATTGAGACAGATAAAGGAATGGTAGCAACCCCTAGGTTGGTCTCTACGGGGGAAGAAGTTACTTATCTGGGAGTGAGAAACCTTAGTCAGCTAAATAAGAGGAATATTTGCACAAAAATAACATCCAGAATCCTCCCTCCTTCTTGGAATCAGAGGCCGTAGTGAGCAGCCAGGAAACCTCTCTTGGCCCATCCGAGCCTTGGGTCTTGGTCCTTTTCCCAGGGCCTCCCAGCCTGCTGCTCCTCTTGCAGCTGAGATGAGGGTAGAGATGTTTCCAAGGGCAGGCCTGCCATGGAGGTGGAGTTCTTGGAACTCAAGACCCAGCAGAAGAAGCAACTAAGCGGTCTTTGAGAAGCTGCCTTCACAGTACAGGCATACCTCATTTTATTGTGCTCTGCTTTATTGCACTTCATAGATCCTGCATTTGTTATGAATTGAAGGTTTGTGGCAAGGTTTGCTGAACAAGTCTACTGGCATCATTTTCTAACAGCATGTGCATACTTTATGTCTCTGTGTTGAATTTTCAAAAGCTTTCATTATTATCTGTGATGGTTACTTGTGATCAGTGATCTTTGATGTTACTACTGTAACTGTTTTGGGGTGCCACAAACCATGCCCATATAAAAAGAGGAACTTAATTGATAAATATTGTTTGTTTTCTGACTGTTCAACTGAATGGCTATTCACCCATCTTCCTCCCTTCTCCTGGGGCCTCTCTATACCCTGAGATGCAGCAATATTAAAATTAGGCTAATTAACAACCCTACAGTAGCCTCTAAGTGTTCAAGAGAAAGAAAGAGTTGCACATCTTTCACTTTAAATCAAAAGCTCGAAATGATTAAGCTTATTGGGGAAGGTATGCCAAAAGCTAAGATAGGTCTCTTGTGCCAAATAGTTAGCCAAGTTGTGAATGCAAAGGAAAAGTTCTTGAATGACATAAGAGCCACTCCAGTGAACGCAAAAAATTGATGATAAATAAAATAGTCTCATTGCTGATATGAAGAAAGTTTTAGTGGTCTGGTTAGAAGATCAAACCAGGAACAACATTCCCTTAAGTTAATACCTAATCCAGAGCAAGCCCTAACTCTCTTCAAATTTGTGAAGGCTGAGAAGTGAGGAAGCTGCAGAGGAAAAGTTGGAAGCTAGTAGAGGCTGGTTCCTAAGGTTTTAGGAAAGAAGCAGTCTCCCTAACATAAAAGTGCAAGTTAAAGCAAGTTATTCAGAAAATCTAGCTAAGATCACTGATGAAGGTGGCTACATTAAACACAAGAGATTTTCAATGTAGATGAAACACACTTCTATTGGAAAAACATGGTATCTAGGACTTTGATAGCTAGAGAGGAGAAGTCAATACCTGGCTTCAAAGCTTCAAAGGACAGGTTGACTCTCTTGTTAGAAGCTGATGCATCTGGTGACTTTATGGTGAAGCCAATGCTCATCTCTAATTCCGACAACCCTAGGTTCCTCAAGAATTATGCTACATCTAATCTGCCTGTGCTCTATAAATGGAAGAACAAAGCCTGGATGACAGCACATCTGTTTACAGCATGGTTTACAGAATATTTTAAGACCACTCTAGAGACCTATTTCTCAGAGAAAAAGACTTCTTTCAAAATATTACTGGTTATTGACAATGCACCTGTCCATCCAAGACCTCTGATGGAGATATACGAGGAGATTCGTGTTTTCATTTCTCCTAACATTAACATCCATTCTGCAGTCCATGGATCAAAGCATAATTTCAACTTTTAGGTTTCACTTTTTAAGAAACAAATTTCATAATGCTATAGCTGCCATGGAT